CGCTGGGGGGCTGACTTGCCGCACCTGCACTGGATCCGCGAGGCCCAGTTGGTGTTGAGGCCGCAGCCTCCGCAGGCCCAGAACGGTTGCTTCGGGCCAGGGAGCACGGGCCCCTCATTGCTCATCTGCCCCCGAGGGGGCTCGCTGACTGCTCCAGTAGGAGCTCACCTGAAGAAAGAAAGGCTCGCAGCAGCACGTGGCCGCTCTGAAGAGGTATGCTGCTGCAAGCTCAGGAAGAACGCCTGAGCCAGAACGGCTCATCCAAGGAAGGATGGGGGGCCACAAATCGTGGCCGGCGGCACGTGCGCGGCCCGGGGGGGGGGAGCCAGGGACGTAATGAAAGAAGAAGGGGCGCCATGAAATCTGGGGAAATATCATGGCCCACGCCATGATATCCACCCCCCCGAGTCATCGCCCCCCTCTTTGCCGCCCCCGACCATTGAGCATCCCCTGGTTCGGAAGTGTGTGGCAGATTTTGTAGCGTCTTCTCCTCCTCCTCCTCCTCCTCCTCCTCCTCCTCCTCCCCCCTCCTTCTGCACAGTAGCCATATTCGACTCAAGAGCGGTTGTTGGTAGGCCGCCATTCCCGCAAAGCGGCCGTCGGCGTGCACTGTCGCCTGCCCACGCGCTCTAGCGTATGGCACTTCTGTCTGTCTCAGTGAGTGCCCTCTACAGCATCTGCGCTTTGGTGCCACGTGCTGCAGCGCAGGACGTGGTGCGCCGCTCGCCATCGCTCGGATGTCCGTTCCTCGTGCATTTGTCGACTTCGTGCGCATCTTTCGGCGCAGTAGGGGCCCGACAACCAGAAAAACCTCCCACAAGAAACCCAACCCCGAGACCCCAGGACGTCTCCTGGTGTGGTGTGGGAACGTCATGCTCCCCATCGCAGAACCATGGAGACCCTGAGCCCAGGGCGCCCTGGAGGCGCGCAGCGTGCTTCCTGGCATGGGTCTCAATGCACTGTTGATGGTCAGACACGTTCCTCGATGGTCCTCGCGTCCGAGCGCTACAGTCGGGGCGTTGACCCAAGGAACCCTAAAGAAGGAACGGGGCCCCTTTCTCCCACAAGTTGAACTTCGACTTCCCATCGAAGCCCTAAGCAGAACCAGAGGCGAACTGCAACAAAAACTAAGGAACACCGAGCCCCTCCCCAACGAAAAGGGTTCCTTCTTCAGGGCCCCGACTGTGCCAGGGCCAAGGACCTGGAGGGCCAAGGACACCCCTTTAGTAGAACGTGGTTTAGTGAAAACGACCTGAGGCCCAAACCTGGCGGGCGCAAGCCTGGAAAATTACGGCCACGGCGCCACCTCGAGAACCGAAAACGGACACTTCGCTACTCTACGCGTCACTGTTTGGGGGTCCTGTCCGCCCCCGAGCGCGTCCGAGCGGTACCAGGGCCGAGGACCCGGAGGCCCCGAGAGGGTCCAGGAGGAGGAGGAGGAGGAGGAGGAGGAGGAGGAGGAGGAGGAGGAGGAGGAGGAGGAGGAGGAGGAGGAGGGAGGAGGGAGGAGGGAGGAGGGAGGAGGAGGGAGGAGGAGGAGGAGGAGGAGGAGGAGGAGGAGGAGGAGGAGGAGGAGGAGGAGGAGGAGGAGGAGGAGGAGGAGGAGGGAGGAGGAGGAGGAGGAAGGCCGACTGTACCGGGACCGAGGACCCGGAGGCCCCGAGAGGGGTCCAGGAGAGGCAGAGGGTCGGCGGGCGACTGGGGGGCGCGCGGCCCGGGGGAATGAGCGCTGGCCGCCCGCGGCCGCGCGGAGGAGAGGGGCAGGAGGGGGGGGGGGAGGAGCCGACAGGGAGGGGAGGGAGCAGGGAGGGAGAGGAGAGGAGCCGACCAGGAGGGGCGAGGAGGGGGAGGGCGAGGAGGGGGGGAGAAGAGGGGAGGGGGTGCGAACAGTGGAAAGGAGGAGGGAGGAGGAGAGAGAGAGAGAGAGAGAGAGGGAGAGAAAAACAAAGAGAGAGAGAGAAAGAGAGAGAGCGAGAGAGCGAGAGAGCGAGAGCTAGAGGAAGCGGAGGAGGGGGGGCGGGAAAGCGAAGGGCAGGAAGAAGGACAGATGGGGGAACGAGGGCGTAGAAAAGGGACATAGCAAGGGGAGGGAGAAACTGGAAAAGAGGACGCGGGCCCAGTGGGCGCCTTCGGGCCGTAGTTCTGGCGGAACATCTCGGGAGCCCACATGGTCCTCGTCCCCGCAAGCGCGGACAGCCTCGACGGGGCGATGGTCTTACGATCCTTCCTCTTCTCAGGCGAACCGCGGAGCGAGAGCTCTTAGCGTCAGGCCTTCACCTCCTCCTCCTCCCCTCAACGGGGCGCTGGCATTACGCCCCCTCCTGCTCGTCAGACGCACCACCTCGAGCTCGTCTATCGTCCCCCGAAACGAGCTGGATGCACGTGGGCGCCTGCGAGAAGGCAGCAACGCGCGGGATGAGGCAGATCCTCCATCCGAGCTTGCTCATCGCATGCTGATGCGATCCTCCAAGACCTCGTGGCCAGTGTGCTGACATCTCTGTCGAGCCCCCATGTTCTGCAGGCTGGAGGCCACGCGCTCGTTCAGCGTACCCCTAGACTGCAGGAGTACACCCTGCGAAATGCTTAAGAAATCATGGGTTCAGAAATTCATAGTCTCAGAACTTGAATAAAAACCCTACATTTCCATTCAAATCTTAGGATTTACATTGAAACGTTAAGAATAATCGAGACTCTGGCCGAAAATTCAAGTTTTCTTAAGCATCGCCTAAGGTGTATGGCCGTTGGTTCCCCCGTCCAGATCGGCACAGTGCCAGAGAGTGTGGCGTGGTCGGCATCGAGGGTCGATCGCTCCCGCTCAGCCTCTGGAGCCGCCGACCTCTGTCCCTCGTCGCGCGTCCCTCTCGCCCCCTGGCTTAGGTCGGGCATGTAGCCGTACAGGGGGATGCTCGACGGAAAATCAAAGAATACCCCAAACATTATGGTTAAAACAAAAACTCAAAAACTCGTACCCAAACTACTGGTTGACTATTTCTGAAAATTCCTCCCGTAGAGAGACAGGCCCGAGTTAACCCCTGGTCCGTTCCACAGCCTGCGTCTCTTCAAGCTGTAACGGCCGGAACAGCTAAGGCAGCAGGACACGCTGGTTGCATCATGCCCGCGGAGCACGTCGGAAAGACAGCCACAGAAAACTGCCTTCAGCCAAACAGAAAACAAAACAAGGAATGAGGGAGGCGGAAACGGAGGGGTAAGTACGCCTACTGTGCAAGAGTAGGCCAAACGGAGGTTCGAAGGAGAAGGGCATCAAGAGAACAAATGCTCCAAGCAACAATGCGTGTTCACGGCAAGACCATTCGATTGCTTAGGGCGGGTGTACCTGGGGGGGGCATGTTTCCGGCGCCCTCGCCCTTCCACATTCCGTAGATTGCCGATGCTGCCAACAGCCTGCTGCCTCCTCCAAAAGTGTGCCCCACACCATTTCGCAGCTGTGGAGAACCATAATAAAAAACCTCTGGCTCACCGCCGCACTCTGATGGGCCTGCGTTCCACCACTACCACCATAAGTCGGAGGGGGAGGGGTTCCTCCTCGTCCTCCTCCTCCTCCACCTCCTCCTCATCCTCGTCTTCGTCCTCCTCCTCCTCCTCCTCCTCCTCCTCCTCCTCCTCCCCCTCCAACTTATGGTGGTGGTGGTGGTGGAAGACAGGCTCATCATACTCGATGCCGCGAGAGCGTTCCAACAGCTCGCACGGCTGCGCGCGAGGACTCGCGCGTGTGGCGGTCGATCACCCGTGTCGCCTGGGCGCTCGATCTGCAGTAGACGTAAGACCTGCACCAAGTTTAAGAGGAACGCGCCTTGCCGCGAGAGCTCGGCGAAGCATGACGCGTCACCCCCTCCCACGACACCAACTGTTTAGACCATGTCTGAGGCCACGGCCGAAAACCGCACCCAAAGAAAACACTGCCGGAAGAGTGTGCGTTGAGCCGAGGTCGAATCTCTTGCGCAACGGCATGTCCCGTCAACGACGAAACCACTGGTGCGCCCAGGAAGCCTTCCTAGCCTGGGCCGTTCGGTCCACAACCACGCTGGTGGGGCAGTCCCAAGCCATCTGGACGACTAGTATCTCCCCTGGACAAACGGCACCTGATTATCTACCTCGTTCAAGGAGTCCCTGGTGGGGATGGACTCGGGGGGGTCAGCGTCCTTCATCTGGGACGCAGTGAAAACCATAACCAAATGTCCACCAGAAATGATGCGTAGCCAGACTACGAGTACGCTCGGAAACGCAATAGACAACAAGGGACGTGATTTAGCTGAGAGGTATACGTTTGTCGGCCCCGATGAAACACGTATCTCGCCAAGTGCTGGCGGAAGTAACATGCCGAGGGCGGTAGGGACTGGGACTTTGACAAGAGACATGTTATGTCGAACCCTATCCCAGTACTTCTTCGTGGGATTTTCAAATGGACCGAACATGCGGGGCCCAACTCTGTGATATACCATGGGGGGAGCGTCTATCCTCGATAGGGGTGCGTCTGAATAGCCTCCTTGGGGCATATCCCAGGGTGCCTCCTCCCTTTTTCTGAGCGGCCAAACTTTTCGGGCGGAATCCAGGGACTTCGAGGAGGAGAATCGCCTGCGAGACTTGAAGAAGAGGCAGCTGCACAAAAATAAACTGTAGACGCTCCGCACCGATCTCTTGGATCTGAGCTGGACCCCCTCCCTGGTGGACGGAGCGCGCCAGGGGCGGCGCCAGAGGCGCCGCCACGGGGGCACCGGCACAGATCCAAAAGATCTGCGCGGAGCGCCGAGACTTGAGCGACGATGCAAGACGGGTCCTGCGCGAGATGACGTAGCGACCTTACGCGGTGGCTTGCGCGGGCCGCCCGCGCGAGACGCCACGTCTGAAGCGAGGGCGCACCCTCGCGACCTCACGCGGGCGGCTCGCGCCACTCCAGGCGAAGACGACCCCGCGTTTTTGCGTCGCTCCGGTGAGGCTTACGCGGCCGTCTCTGCTTCGAGGGGGCGGGGGCAGGACGAGGACTAGGACGAGGGCGGCCCGCCGGAGCGGCGCCTCTCCGTCGCGGAGGCCCAGCGGGCGGTGCCGAAGTCCGAGAGAGCCACGCGGCAGCCCGGGTCCACCATGTCCAGGCGATCCAGGAGGAAGTTCTCAGCCTTGACGTCGCGGTGCACGATGCCTCGTTCGCGGCGCGCACGAGGGGGCAGGGGGAGGGGGCAAGGCCCCTTCGAAGCAGGCGGCTTCTGAAATGACGCCTGCCTCGCATCTGTATTCAGACAAGGCCCGCGCCTTCTGAGAAACGGGGGTGCTTCTAGAAGCCTTCCCCCCTTCCTGCACCCCCCTCTGCGCGTGGCCGACCTTTGCTGTGCAGGTGGCACACCCCGTCGCCCATCTGGCGCATCAGGTGCCGGGACTCGTAGCAGCAGACCCGGCCTTTCTCCTCGAAGTGCCTCTGGATACCCCTCACGAGGTCGCCTCCAGCGTACTTGACCATCACGATGCAGACGAAGCACTTCTCGTGGAACACACCGATAAGGCTGACGACGTTCGGGTGGTCGACGCTCCGGAGCACATCGATCTCCTGGACGATGCTCTCCACGGGGGTCTCCACCTTGTCGACCAACTTCACTGCGAATTCCTCCCTCGTCGCCCGCCTGCGGCAGCTGGCGACCACACCGAAGGAGCCCTCGCCGATCGTCGGGCCCACGGAGTACTCCCGGAGCAGGGCCCCCCTTTGAGGACTAGAGAGGGCGCCTTCCGAACACGCCTCACTGGTGCAAGTGGCACCGCCCCCCCCCCAACCTCTCGAACTCCCCCTCTCTCTACAGAACCAGCCTCCCCCCTCCCCCTCCAAGCGAACGAACCCTCCCCCCATCTGTGAGGTCAGGGGGGGGTTCGACCCCTCGACCCCCCTCCGAACTTCGGGGCGGGGGTTTCGACCCCCCTCGCCGCGTCGCGCCCTCGCGGGCCGGCGTGGGTCTCGGTCGTCGTCGTCGTCGGCGAGTCGGTCGGGCGGGCAGGACACGTCGTCGTCGTCGTCGTCGTTACCGTGGTCGTCGTCGGCGTCGTCGGCGTCCTCAGCGTCCTTTGCTGTCGAGTCGGTCGGTCGGTCGGGCGGGCAAACCACGTCGTCGTCGTGGGCAGTCGGGCGGGCGGGCGGCGGGCGCGACACGTCGGCGTGTAGTGGTGGTGGTCGTCGTCGTCGTCCTCGTCGTAGTGGTCCTCGTCGTAGTGGTCCTCGTCGTCGTCGCCGTCTTCGTCGTGGTCGTCGTCGTGGTCGTCGTCGTGGTCGTCGTCCTCGTCGTCGTCGTCGGCGGCGTCGTCGTCGTGGTCGTCGTCGTCATCGTTTGCCGTCGCCCGGCGTCGTCGCCGTCGGTGTTGCAGTCCCCGTCGCCGTCGTGGGCGATTCCGTCGGTCGCGCGGGCGGACGGGACACGTCGTCGACGTCGTGGGCGAGTGAGTCGGTCGGGTGGGCGGGCGGGACACGTCGTCGTCGTCGTCGACGTCGTCGTCGTCGTCGTCGTGGCCGTGGTGTGGTCCTCGTCGTCGCCGTTTGCCGCCGGCGCGGGGGGGGGGGTTCGTGAGCCCACCCCTGGACGCGAAAGGAGCGGGGGGGTCCAACCCCGCCCCCCTGACTCTTCGGGGGCGCAAACACATGGACTAGCGATCCATGGATTTGGCGAGCGGTCGCCAAATCCATGGATCGGGGGAGGGGCCATCCCTCAAAATGCGGCCGGTGCCGCCTCGCTCGGCGGCGGAAATCCGCGAGTTCCCACGAAAACGGGACCCGTCGCTAATCCACGCCCCCATTGATCCATGTTTGCCATCGCCTGTCCTCGGGCCCCCCAGGGGGCGTCGAGAAGGGCCTGCGGCCCTCCTCCTCACTCCTCCTCCTCCTCCTCCTCCTCCTCCTCCTCCTCCTCCTCCTCCTCCTCCTCCTCCTCCTCCTCCTCCTCCTCCTCCTCCTCCTCTCCTCCTCCTCTCTCTCCTCCTCCTCTCCTCCTCCTCCTCCTCCTCACTCGGGGAAGAGGGCGAGGGGGGCGGCCCGTCCCCCCGCCCCCCACTTGTCAGCGGGTGGGGGGGGGGGCCGGGGCCCCCCTCGGACTTCCCAGAGGCCCGGTGTTCCTCGACTCCTCCCATGCGGGGGCCCCCAAAGTCCGGGGTCCTTCTCTCCAGGGCCGGCCCTCCATCCCGAGCCGTTTTCTGACGGTCCTGAGGCATGGTGGCGAGGGCCCCACACAAGCCGGAAGCCCCGACTGCTTCCATGCGTGGAAAGTCAGGCTTCGTCTCACCGTGCTCGGAAGACGCCCCTTCGTACCTCTATCACGACCTACGGGCCCCTCTGACCTCTCAGAGGGACGACCAACCACGTCAGCATAACTTCTCGGAGGTCCGCGCGGAGTTCTTGGATCGGCGCTGGACCCCCTCCCTGCCGCGCGGAGCGCGCCAGGGGGCCCCAGCACCGATTCCAGAAATCCACACGGATCTCTGACAGGTTAGTTACGCTTGTGCGGTCTCCTGCACCCAGGACCCAGTCTCTCTGCTGAACAAAATTCGAGCCGCATCGATGACATGCGAGGGCCCGGGGGCCCGAAACTGGATCTAGGTGCGACATGTCCTCCTGCAGGCGAATGCTCGAAAAACAATCTAAAACGAGCCAACACATATATTCAAAAATAGCGGAACATACTCAAAGCATCGTCCCCGTACGAGTTGTTCTAACTGTTTTTGAAGCTTCCTGTAGAGGGACATCCCTGACTCCGGATCCGCCCTACTTTGGGGAAATTCGTAAGTGGGGCTTGGAATTTCCGCCTTACTTTTTAAGCCCCGCTGATGCCAATTTCCGCCCTACTTTTCTGCTGCTGCTTCCGCCCTACTCCTGTGGATTTCCGCCCCACTTTTATGTTGGGTGCAGAAATGTCCGCCCTACTTTTTCGGCTCCTTATAAGTGGATTTCCGAGGCAATTTTAAGGCGGAAAAGAAGCCCAAGTAGGGCGGATCTGGAGTCAGGGATACCCGACTAAAATTGGGCGACGACGCCCGCTGAGATCTCGGGGGCCCTCCCAGCCGCTGCAGCCGCGGGCGGCCCCGCTCGCCGCGGCGCGGCGGCCGCCCCTCGTCGCGCCCCCCCCCCCCCCCCCGCGCGGCCAGCCTCTGCCGGAGGCCGGCCCGTCCCCACCTTCTCCCCTGCAGAGAAGGAGGGAGGAGAAGGAGGGGGGAGGGGGGAGGAGGAGGAGAGGAGGAGGAGGAGGAGGAGGAGGAGGAGGAGGGAGGTCGGAGGGAGGAGGGGGACGGGAGGAGGGAGGAGGGAGGAGGGAGGAGGGAGGAGGAGGAGGAAGGAGGGAGGAGGAAGGAGGGAGGAGGAGGAAGGAGGGAAGGAGGTAGGAAGAGGAGGGGGAGGAGGAGGAGGAGGAGGTCGGAGGGAGGAGGGGGACGGGAGGAGGGAGGAGGGAGGAGGGAGGAGGAGGAAGGAGGGAGGAGGAAGGAGGGAGGAGGAGGAAGGAGGGAGGAAGAGGAGGAGACCTCAGGGGCCCTCCTCAAACATGCGATGTCCTGATTTTGTTCAATGCGGCGCTCCCGAAGTCCCGACCCCCAGGACCGGTTCTTCATCCCGAGTCCTTTGTTGACGGCCCCGGGGCACGGCGAGGGCCTCCCAAGGCCGAAAACAGGGAAACGCCTCCCGTCCGGATTTTTTCCCGACGCTTTCGCGCCTAGGCCCCGCTCCTAGGGAAACAAACAGGTACCGATACCGCTATCCCCTCGGACCTCCCTCGGGGGGTGCGTTCGGACCAGAATCTCGAGGCGAGTCCAGCGGTGGCGACGAGGGCCTCCCAGGAGGCCCAACAAGGGGACAACGGCCGAAGGGTCGAGGTATGGGTCCCAGACATTCGAGGTCCTGATTTTTTCAGGACGGCGTCCCCAGAAGTCCCGACCCCTTCCCTGGGGCTGGTTTTTCATCCTGCGTCGTTTTTTGACGGTCCCGAGGCCCGGTGAGGGCCCCCAGGGGCCGAAAATAGCGAACAACCTTTTGTCCTGATGTTTTAACGACGCGATCATGTCTGGGATACCTTTCCCTCCTCTGAGCTCCACTCACCTCTGGTGCACGTCCGTGGCGGCCTCGTCGCCGAACCGCTGCGAGCCGCCGGCCGTCGGCTGCCAAAGGCCGCCGGCGCCCGCGGGGCCGCCCGCGCGCCTGCAGGAGAGGTAAGTCGGGCTTGTCCCTCTACAGGGGGAAAATGCAACAAAAATAGTTTAAAACAAGTCTGGGGATTCTTTATTGCGTTTTGTTTTACCATTTTGTAGATTATGTTCGTCGAAAGTCCCCCTGTAGGGGGACACGCCCGACTTAACTGGAGAGCCCAGAATCGAATCGATAAGTCGCATTAGCGATCGAAGTGAATCGGATCGGCGGAAATCGGCAGCTGAGTCGGGAAGTCGAATCGGTGGAAATCGGCAGGCTGGTATGCGTCCAAGAAAGGAGTCGGAGCCCAAAGCGGAGCGCCAAGTCGAATCACATCGGGATCGGAAGCCATCGAAATCGAATCGAATCGAATCGGAGGAGTCGAATTGAGCCCTGGCCTGAGGTCGGGCATGTCCTCCTAAAGGCAGGTTTTGGACGAAAAATACAAACGTAACCAACAAATGCTCAACGTAACCAAAAAATCCTCAACATATTTGGACTATGTCTGACTATTCTTCCTGTAGAGGGACACGCACGACTTAAGCAGAATAAGAAAAATGCATCAACTTTTGGCGCTCCGCGCGGTTTTCGTGAATCCGCGCCAGACCCCCCTCCCTGGCGCGCGGAGCGCGCCAGGGACGGCGCCCGAGGCACCGCCGGGGGGCCCAGGCGCTAGGCCAAGACATCCGCGCGGAGCGCCAAAAGTTTATGCTTGCGTGTCTTTGTTCTTCTGCAGCTGAAGTCGGGCGTGCCCCTCTGCAGGAGGAAGGACCAAAAAGAGTCCAAACATTGTCGTCTGGGGGGGACTCTTGGACTGCAGCTCCCCCATTCTGGAGCGTGCTTTCGTCTTCGACTATCGGGCCGGGCGAAAGGGGGGGATAGCTGAGGGGGGGGGTGAGAATCAGCTCGCGTAGCTGACTTTCCCGGCGCCTCCCGGCGCCGGAGACGGCTACGTATCGACGAATGGGCCCCTCGGTGGGGCCGAAACCAGCTGCATGCAGCAAATTTCGTACGTACTCCCCCCTTTCCCAATCCCCCCCCTCTCGCCCGGCCCGAGACTGCGCGGCGTCGACGCGAGCCCGCGCGCCTGCGGGGCAGGCCGCCGCCCGGGCGCAGCCCCAGGGCCTCGCCCAGGCGCCGCAGGGCGGCGCCCGGGCGGGCGCAGCACGCCTCCGCGGCCGCCCGCCGCGGCAGGCACTCGGACTGGCGCCTCGGGGCACCGCCGACGCCGACGGCGGCAACGGCGACGGCGACGGCGACGGCGACGGCGACGACGAGGACGACGGCGGCGACGACGACGGCGGCGACGACGAGGACGACGACGGCGACGACGAGGACGACGACGGCGACGACGGCGGCGGCGGCGGCGGCGGCGGCAGCGACGGCGGCGACGGCGGCGGCGACGGCGAGAGTGGCCCTGGGTGAATCATCATCCTGACCTAAGGAACGATACATAAGGAACGAAGCCCCTTTCTTATCCCAAGGAATAATGCATAATTAAGGAACGATAAATCACAAATAACGCATAAGGAAGTGTAAATAACGCATGCAAACCTAAGGAACGATCGAGCCCCTTTTGAAAAGTAAGTGTTCCTTATTCAAGCCGCTCACTGTAAGAGTGGCCTTTGGTGCGCGGCTTTTTGAGGGGCCGCGGGGGGACCAAGCACAAGCGCGCGTGACGCTGCTATCGCGTC